TATAAGATTTTGAGTTCCAGATTTTGTTCCTCCCTCCTTTCCCTCTCCCCTCACCAAGACCACATGTAATCTGATATAGGCTATACATGTACAGTCCTGTTAGACATATTTCCACATCAGTCATATTGTGGAGGAAGAATCAGAATAAAAGGGAAAAACCATGAGAAAGAAAGAAAAAAAAAAGAAAATAGTGTGCTTTGATCTGCATTCAGACTTCACAGTTCTTTCTCTGAATGTGGGTAACATTTTCCATAATGAGTCTTTTGTAATTTTCTTAGATTATTGTATTGCTAAGAAGACCTAAGTCTATCAAAGTTGGTCATTGCACAATGTTGCTGTTACTGTGTACAATGTTCTCCTGGTTCTTCCACTCAACATCAGACCTGGCAAGTCTTTCCAGGTTTTTCAGAAGTCCTCCTGCTCACCATTTCTTTTTTTTAATTAATTAATTTATTTTTAGTTTTCAACATTTACCTCCATAAGCTTTTGAGTTTCAAATTTTCTCTCCCTCCCTCCTCACCTCTCTCCATGACAGTATGCAATCTGATATAGGCTCTACATATACATTCCTATTAAACATATTTTCACTTTAGTCATGTTGTAAAGAAGAATTAGAACCAATAGGAGGAACCACCAGAAAGAGGAAACAAAACAAAACAGAAGAAAAAAAAAAGAGCAAATAGTATGCTTTGATCTGCATTCATACTCCATAGTTCTTTCTCTGGATGTGGATAGCATTTTTTTATCATGAGACTTTTGGAAATGTCTTAGATCCTTGCATTGCTCAGAAGAATTAAGTCTAACAAAGTTGGTCATTGCACAGTGTGTCTGTTACTGTGCACAATGTTCTCCTGGTTCTGCTCACTTCACTCAGCATTAGACCATACAAGTCTTTCCAGGTTTTTCTGAAATCTGCTTGCTCATCATTTCTTATAGCACAATAGTATTCCATTACATTCATATACCACAACTTGTTCAGCCATTCCCCAATTGATGGGCATCCCCTCAATTTCCAATTCTTTGCCACCACAAAAAGAGCTCAAAGCACATGTTTAGCAAGATGTGGGTAACAATAGAAGAAACTGACTTTTTTTAATAATTAAAAATAAGTATCTTTTGTGTTTTCATCACCTATACTTCCTTCCTATTCCCTTCCCCTAGGAGTCATCCCTTATAACAAAGCATGAAAAAACAGTTTAGCAAAACAAACCAACATATCCGCCAAGTTAGGCAGTGCATGCTGTATTCCACACCCACAGGCTCCCACTTCTGCAGAGAAGAAAGGGAAGCCCACCCATTTTCTTACCTCTTTTTTCTGGGCTAAGTTTGGTCATTATAATTACAAGAGTCCATTTTTACATTGTTGTTATGGTTTATATTGATGTTTGGTTTTGCGTACTTCAGTTTGCGTCAGTTCATAGGTGGTTTTCATGCTTCTTTGTGGTCTTCATGTTCCTTACTTAGAATGATAATTGCTCACATTTCTATATCTATTTAAAGTTTGCAGTGTAGTACCTAGGTTATCTCATTTGATCCTTACAACAACTCTGAGAGAGTAGTGCTACTATTGTCACCATTTTACATATGGGGAAATTGAGGGTGAGAGAGATGATGTGCCTAGGGTCACACAGGTAGGAAGGGTCTGAGGCTGGATCTGAACCCAGGTCTTCCTGACTCCAAGCCCAACACTACTGTGACACCTTGCTACACAATAGTGTTCTATTACATATATTTATCAAATTTGTTTCGCCATTTCCCCATAACCCCATATAGATAGGCATCTATTTTGTTTCTAGTTCTTTGCTACTACAACAAATAGTGCCATAAATGTATTGTTGCATAAGAGACTTTTCTATCTTTGACTTCTTTGGGGTTTATGCCATGTAGTAGGATCTCCAGGTCAGAGGGTACAGACATTTTTGTCATTTTCTTGTCATGATTTTGAATTGCTTCCAGGATTGTTGGATCAATTCTTAGAGGCCACCAGCAGCTTGTTACTTTTCACAATGAAGTGAACCCATTCCCATTCTGAATTTCTTTAAATCTAATAATTCCTTGAATTTGTCCATTCTCCTCCCAAGAATTCAAAACCTCTTCAATACAGTAGATATTTCATTTGTAGTCTAATCCTTATTAGATAGGTAGGAAATTATTTTGCAGAGGTAAAGTAAAGTTATGCAGCTGCCTGGTATGAGGTCATGGGGCAGGAGAGGCTGAACCTGAAATGTGGTGTTCTAGGCCAGAACTTTGTCTGTTTGCTTCTGCCTCAGAAGGGAGAGGGCAAGAGGCCTAGACAGGGACACTGGTAAACTCGTCATAAAAATCACGAGATCACGTGCATCAGGGTAATCAACTAAAGATCCAAGATGCAATTATATTTTTCATTAGTTACTTTTTGTATAATTTGTAGAAAACAAAAGAAATTCATAATTCAAAGCATCAAAATGTCTGTGTATCTTCTAGGAGTAAGAGAGATAATTTCATGGCTGAATCAATGGAGTCAAAATGGAGCACTGTGCAAATTAGTGGTGAGCATATCATTTCAGAGTAATGCATTTGGGCCCATCTCGGGGTTCTTACTGTGGCAGCTGTGTGTGAGACTGTTACTTAAATATTTTTATGTAAATGGAGAAATAATTGCCCTTTTAGAGCAGGGGTTGTTAGGGGACCCGTGAACTTTTAAAAAAAAATAGGTTTCTGCTATAATCCTTTTTATTTTATGTATTTAAAAACTTTATTCTGAAAAGAGGTCCATAGGCTTCAGCAGGTTGCCAGAGTCCATGATACAAAAAAGTTTAAAAACCCCTGTTGTAGAGATGTGACTGGTATCTTTGAGGTTTACTTAGAACTCTAGGTCTTGTGGGATTGAGTTCTTTAAAGTTCACCATTGATATATGGTAAAATTCCAGACAACTTTAGGATCATGGAATCATGGATTTGGAGCTAGAAAGAACCTTGGATGTCATCTCTTTCAATTATCTCATTCTGTAAATGAGAAAAGTGAGACTTCACTGTCCAAATTTCACGTAATGAGTGGCAGCATCGCGAGTCATACTCAGGTCCTCTGATTTCAGATTCTGTGCCCTTTCCACCATCATTAGGCGTTCAGGTTAGCATTAAGGTGAACATCTCGGAGAATTTTTTTGTTAGAAATCATTGACCTTATATGGATCATTCATGTAGCATGGTGACTTAGGAACTATATTAAAACATGACAAGCAGTAAATCATGGGATCTAGACCTGAATGAGGCCTTAGCAATTACTTCTATTTCAAATCTCATCATTTTACAGATCAGGAAACTGAGAACCAGATCAAGGAACTGACTTGCTTAAGGTCACCCATATAAATAGCAGAATTAAGATATAGAGCCTTGGACTTCACATCCTGTGATTGTTCTAGCCTATCACATTGCTTCAGAGATTGCAAATGAAAAACCTCCATTATCTTTTGTTGGAAGGGCATTTTATTTATTTATTTTTAGTTTTCAACATTCATTTTTGCAAGATTTTGAGTTTTAAATTTTCTTCCCCTCCCCCCCATGGCATACAATCTGATATAGGTCATACATGTGCAGTCATATTAAACATATTAGAAGGGCATTTTGAAGGGTTTCCTTTGACTAGGAGCAGGTTTACAGACCCGATGTACACATTGATTGGGGATTTCATCCCTGTATATATGTACCTTGCCTACATCATGATCCTTGTAGCTGTGTATGCCTTTGACGTCTAGGTACAGTAACAGGGTCCACAGTTAGTCAAATAGATGCTGCAGTTAATTCAGCTACTAGAGATGCATTCTTACATCCATATTCTTAGAAAATAAAGTTGAATAGTGTTAGTATCATATCTTCAAACTCAAGGGAAAAAGGTTTCCTCATTTGGTGCAGTAGTTGGGAGTTATGAAATTGAGAGAAGTAGATAAGCAGCCAGCATTCTTTTTTGTTTGTTTGTTAGTTTTTTGGCTAGGCAATGGGATTAAGTGACTTGCCCGCAGGGTCATACAGCTAGCAAGTGTCAAGTGTCTGAGGGCAAATTTGAACTCAGGTCCCGCTGACTCCAGGGCTGGTGCTCTATCCACTGCGCCACCTCGCTGCCCCTCAGCAGCCAGCATTCTTAAAGGGACCGTGTAGGTCATGTCCCTGACCTTTCCTGTAGTTAACATGCACTTTGTACATTACAAGAGCCTATGAGCAACGTAGAAAAATAACCTGAAGTACTGTTGTATTTAAGAGTCTTGATCTGGTTTCAGTAAGTAAATATTGTTTAGATGCAGTATGATGTAATGGAAAGAGAATTAGATTTGGAGTTAAATCTCCCCTTGGTAATTGGGATTGGGTTTGAATTTTAGCTCTGTAATGGATATGATACCTGTTCGAATTTTTTTGGGTTTCACAGCAGGTACTAGATGGTCTCCAAGTTTTCTTCTAGCTCTCGATCTTATTATCTTGTGATTGGAATATTTTGTAGTTGACATGTTCCACTTGTATTAAAGGCAGTAGCACATGCTGGCACATTTAGTGTGCTAGTGTAATGTGAGGAAGTGTGGCAGAAAGCAGAATGCTGGCTGTCATCTTCATTTCCTCTCCCCACAGAGGTATGTGGGGTACCTATTGATCTTTCTCAGTTTAAGACCCTGGGTTGTTGCCTCCAGCCAAGGAAAGGTGGAGGATGATTCTTTTGCTGCCTTCTTCTTAAGTCCTTTCCTTAGAAGTGTTGCTGGAGAACCATGTCAGGCCCAAATTTGACCCAAAATGACTGATTTTTAGTAGAGAAAAATCCATTCAGGAGTCATCAGTGACTCTTTGATTCCTAGCATAGATTTCAAATTCCAGTTGCATATGGCAGACTGAAGCTGCCTATAAGCCAGGTGTGCAAAGATATAAATAAAACTTTCTTTAAATAAAACTGGTTTCAAAGCTGTGACTGTCCCCCATATCAGAGCCATGCCAGAATACATCTGTGTGTTCGAATGACTTTTCTCTCTCTCCTTTTGCAGCCGTCAAGGGGAATGCCATGGCCAGTTCCTCGGACAGTGAGGATGACAGTTTCATGGCCGTGGACCAAGAAGAAGCTGGGGTGGAGGGGACAATGGAGCAAGATGAGGAAACCCGCCCCGAACTGGAGATTGAGGAGACAAGACATAACAGGTCTATGTCTGAGCTGCCCGAAGAGGTTCTGGAATATATTCTGTCTTTTCTCTCACCATATCAGGAGCACAAAACCTCAGCCCTTGTCTGCAAACAATGGTACCGACTTATTAAAGGTAGGGCCTATGCTACTGAAAACGTGCTCATTAGATCTTTGAAAATCTGTCTTTCACTTTAGAACTTCAGTTTGGCTCTTAATTTATTTGGCCTCATCAGGTTCATTTTTATGTATATTAGAAGATAAGCAAAGTCAAACACTTTCTGTCCATCCATCAGCTAGACCCGTGAACAGTTTCTTCAGTGTGTTTGTCTGGGTAGTGCTTATAGATTTGGAGCAGGAAGAGACCGTCACGACTGCTATGAGTGATTGTTGTTCCTTTTATCCGTACTCCCTGCCTCCCTCCCACTTTTCCACTGGCTAACTTTTTTTGTATCATTGTTTGATAGTTAGCGATTACTGGGCCCCCTTTGTTCCATCTTGACCTGTCAAGTCAGGATACTGAGTGTAGATCAGATGAATTAACATTGAAACCAAGCCAATATCATATATCAAAGCACTCCTTTCAGATGTGAACATGACAGCTAAAGTTGTTATGGGGAATACTTTTAAAAGGGTATCAGACAGTCCTAAGGTGTATTCCTTAGGTCAGTGAGCAACATAGAAAAATCACCTGCAGAACTGTGGTCTTTAAGAGTCTTGATCTGGTTTCAGTAAGTAAATATTGTTTAGATGCATTATGATATAATGGAAAGAAAATTAGATTTGGAGTTAAATCTCCCCTCAATAATTGGGATGGAGTTTGAATTTTAGCTCTGTAATTGATACGATATCTATGTGAATTTTTCTGGGCTTCATTTTCCTTATCCGTACTATAAGGAGCAGGTACTAGATGGTCTCCAAGTTTTCTTCTAGCTCTCAATCTTACGATCTTGTGATTGGAATATTTTGTGAGTCAGGGCTCACAAGCATTCTGTCACACTGGACAGCCAAGTACTGACTATGTTGAAGCTTCCCAGGTGAGCCTAGAGTGAAACTGGCCTGGCCTACCCACTTCAGTCAGTGCTGTGAGGATATTGGTTTGGCACATGGAGAAAAACATGAGAAATAGTGAGAGAGATGAGATGGAAATGTGTGGGCTCAACTGTGTGTCACGTTTGGCAACCTTGTCGTTTTGGTAGAGAGGGGATCTCACTATACTTTAGGGCTGCAGAGACTTCAGTTGTCACGTCTGTTGAACTCTCAGCCTCTCAGAGTAATGTGAAACTTTGAAATCCTGGCATTGATGGCAGCTGTTTTTCTGCCCTCTTTGAAGTGGGAAAATTGTTTTGAGACTCTCATCATCTTAACAGTCATGTGATCTAACTAATACAGATCCAGGTCCTTTTGAGTTTAGGAGGGTGTCACAGTTTCTGACTTGGTCCCCTTCTTGTGTGCATAGAGTTACAGAATTTCAGAGTTGGAAAGGACCTGAGAGATCCCAGTCCTTAACCTGTGCCGTGAATTATTAGGCTTTTGTTTTTGAAATCCTTCCCTCTTGAGCCGTCTTCTCTTTTAGATTCTCAGACTCGGGATCCTACTTTGCACTGAACATTTTGAAATCTGTTGTCTTAAAGTCTAGGGTTTACATTCTCACATCTGACAAATCTACTTTAAACACATCTTCTCTAGATTTGTCCTTAGTAGAGATGGAAAATGTGGACTGCCTAAAAAGGTAGTGTGTGTTCCCTCACTAAGCTGTCACTCCTCGACCTTAATCATAAAGAGGGTTAAGGCATTTTGGACTTAGTCCCATCTCTCATTAATTAACTTTGAACTTGGGAAGTCACTCAAGTTTTCTGGGTCCAAATTCTTACCTGTAGAAAAGAGTTCAACTAAATGGTCGTTAGTCTTAGTCACTCTAAAATTCTATTATTCTGTTATTCATTATGGTCTTTGATTTCTAAGTCATGTTATACATTCACTGATGTGTTTCCATTCATTTTTCTACAGGTGTGGCCCACCAGTGTTATCATGGCTTTATTAAGGCCGTCCAGGAAGGAAACATTCAGTGGGAGAGTCGAACTTATCCCTACCCTGGAACCCCAATCACTCAGCGGTTCTCACATAGTAAGTCTTTAACCAAAAAATGAGAGGTTAGTGCTTCCTTTCCTAGAATTTAGCGTAGCATCGGCCCAGAGGGTGCTCAGGTTGTAGGTTGTGTTTATAGTCAGGAGCGCATCAAAGGAGAATTTGTCATTTTTGTTGAGGGTGAAAAAAGAATACGTGTCTGAGCTCTTTGCTCCAGTGATATGCTCCATTTGCTCCTGGGGCTGCCCCAGTGCTTGTCTTCTGAAGGGCTTAAGGTTCTATTGTTTAAAATTTTAAACATCTCCCATTATAAACATTGACCAAAGATAAAGAGCATATTTTTCATTTTCAACATTCACTTCCATAAGATTTTGAGTTTTAAATTTTCTCCCCCTCTCTCTCTTCCCTCCTTCCCAGACAGGGTGCAAGCTGATATAGGCTCTACTTATACATTCACATTAAACATATTTTCACATTAGTCATGATGTAAAGAAGAATTAGAACTAATGGGAAGAACCATGACAAAGAAGAAATAAAACAACCAAAAAAAAGGAGAGCAAATGATATGCTTCCATCTGCATTCAGACTCCTAAATTCTTTCTCTGAATGTGGATAGCATTTTCCATTGTGAATCTTTTAGATTTGCTTAGATCCTTGCATTGCTGAGAAGAGCTAAGTCTATCAAAGTCAGTCTTCTCACAGTGTGACTGTTACTGTGTTCAATGTTCTCCTGTTTCTGCTCATTTCACTCTGTGTCAGTTCATATAAATCTTTCTAGATTTTTCTGAGGACATGATAGTATTCCATTACATTCGTACACCACAACTTGTTCAGCCATTCCCCAGTTGATGGTCATCCCCTCAATTTCTAATTCTTTGCCACCACAAAAAGAGCTGCTGTAAATATTTTTGGACATGTGGGTCTTTTTCCCATTTTTATGATCTCTTTGGGATACAGACCTAGAAGTGGTATTGCTGAGGCAAAGAGTGTGCCCAGTTTTATGGCCCTTTGAGCATAGTTCCAAATTGCTCTTCAGAATGGTTGGATTAGTCCCCAACTCCATCAGCAATGCATTAGTGTTCCAGTTTTCCCACATCTTCTCCAGCATTTATCATTTTCCTGTTTTGTCATGTTAGCCAGTCTGATAGGTGTGATGTGGTATCTGGTATTTTTATAAGAGTCATAACTATATTCTTCATTTTTAGAACTTCAGTGCTGCAATATACTTTGCGGGAAAGAGGTCGTTGTGTGTGGATGTGTGTTTTTAACAGATTTTGAATGAAATTATTATAGTTAAGGCTAATGAACCTTTGGATATCCACTTGGATGATTCTTTATACAAATGATATGTATTTTTTCTTCAGGGGAGATGGATCTATGTTACTATTTTGAATAAATATTTAAATCTTTAATCTCTTGGGAAGGGAGGGAGCAAGCTTCGATTCTGAAATAAAGAATTGGTCAGTTTTTGATGAAATCACATAAGACAAAGGATCAAAGAGATGTGTACCTGTTTTTCCTAGCACTGTGCTAGGTATATTGTAAGTGCTCAATAAAAACGTTTGGATCACAATTGCTTGACTTTCTGATTGTTAGCAAGTAAGACTGCTCTTGGTATGTCTTAAGCAAACCATGGGTTGTACATAGAAAATTGTTAGGAAGAGTGAGATTTAATTATTATTCTTATTATCCATACTTAGGAAACAAAATTGACAAACCAGGTGAAGCTGCTGAAAGAAATGGAGTCAAGTGTTTCATGTTCTCTTCTCTGCCCTATTTGGTTTTTGGCCCAGTCAGTTAGTGATTCTCCTGGGAACAGTGTTTTGTCTTAAATATGTAAATAAACTGTTAGTGTATATTAGGATATGAGTCTTCTGGAATCCTAAGTGATTCATACCCTTTAGTCATGATTTTTTAAGTAAATATAGAATATATAAATATCTGGCAAAGAAGGCTTGGGAGATGCTATATGACATAGGTCTTTGAGTTCTAAATGGAAGTCTATATAAGCATTGCTCTATAGGTATAATTTTGAAGGTGACCCATGAAGAAACATCATGTAGCTTTATAAGGGTAGGAATTTTATTCTTTCTTCTGAGGTTCCATTGTGAAACTTCTCACACTCCCTTTTCCTTGAGTAGCCTTCCCTCCCTTCCCCCAGCCCCCTCCTTCTGAAACCTTCCAAGGTAATGGGACAAAATTTTTTGTTTTTATTAATTTATTTTGATTTATCAATAATCACTTCCATATGCTTTTGAATTTAAAATTTTTCTTCCCCTTCTTCCCCACCACCCTCCTCAAGACAGTGCACAATCTGATATAGGCTATACATTTACATTCCTATTAAACATATTTTCACATTAGTGATGTTGTAAATAAAAATTAAAAGCAGTAGGAGGAACCATCAGAAAGAGAAAACAAAACTCAACAGAAGAGAAGAAAAAAAATAGCAATTTAACTTTCGTAGTTCTTTCTTTGGATATGGATAGCATTTTCCGTCACAAGGCCTTTGGAGATGTCTTAGATCCTTGTATTGCCGGGTTAAGTTTATCAATATTAATCATCACACAACGTGGCTGTTATTGTGTAAAATGTTCTCTTGGTTCTGCTCACTTCACTCAGCATGAGACCTTACAAGTCTTTTGCAGGTTTTTCTGGAGTCAGCCTGTTCATCATTTCTTATACCACAATAGTATTCCATCACATTCATATACCACAACTTGCTCAGCCATTCCCCAGTTGATGGGCATCCTCTCAATTTCCAATTCTTTGCCACCACAAAAAGAGCTGCTATGAATATTTTTGTACATGTGGGTCCTTTTCCCATTTGTATGATCTCTTTGGGATATAGCCCTAGTGCTGTTGCTGGGTCAAAGGGTAAGCACATTTTTATAGCCCTTTGGGCATAGTTCCAAATTGCTCTTCAAAATGGTTGGATCATTTCACAATTCCACCAACAATGCATTAGTGTTCCAGTTTTCCCACATCTTCTCCAACATTTATCATCTTCCTGTTTTGTCAAGTTGGCCAATCTGATAGGTGTGATGCGGTACCTCAGAGTTGTTTTGATTTGCATTTCTCTAATCAATTTAGAGCATTTTTTCATATGACTATGGATGGCTTTAATTTCTTTATCTGAGAACTGTCTGTTCATATCCTTTGACCACTTATCAATTGAGGAATGGCTTGTATTCTTATAAATTTGACTTAATTCTCTATATATTTTAGAAATAAGGCCCTTATCAGAGAGACTGGTTGTAAAAATTCTTTCCCAATTTTCTACCTTCCTTTTAATCTTAGTTGCATTGGCTTTGTTTGTACAAAAACTTTTCAATTTAATGTAATCAAAATTATCCATTTTGCTTTTCGTAATGTTCTCTATCCTGTTTGGTCATGAGTTCTTCTGTTCTCCATAGATCTGACAGGAAAACAATTCCTTGCTCTCCCAGTTTGCTTATAGTATCTGCCTTTATATCTAAATCATGAACCCATTTTGACATTATTTTGGTATATGGTGTGAGATTTTGGTCTATGCCTAGTTTCTTCCATACTCTTTTCCAGTTTTCCCAGCAGTTTTTTTCAAAGAGTGGGTTCTTATCCCAGAAGCTGGGGTCTTTGGGTTTATCAAGTAATATATTACTATAGTCATTGACTATTGTGTCTTGCGTATTTAACCTATTCCACTGACCCACCACTCTGTTTCTTAGCCAGTACCAAGCAGTTTTGATGATTGCTGCTTTATAATACAATTTAAGATCTGGAATGTCTAGGCCACCTTCTCCTGCATTTCTTTTCATTAGTTCCCTTGATATTCTGGACCTTTTGTTCTTCCAAATGAATCTTGTTATTATTTTTCTAACTCTATAAAATAATTTTTTGGTAGTTTGATTGGTATGGCACTGAATAAGTAAATTAGCTTAGGTAGAATTGTCATTTTTATTATATTAGCTCGGCCTACCCATGAGCAACTGATGTTTTTCCAGTTATTTAGATCTGATTTTATTTGCATGAAAAGTGTTTTGTAATTGTGTTCATAGAATTCCTGAGTTTGTTTCAGGAGGTAGACTCCTAAATATTTTATAATGTCTACAGTAAGTTTAAATGGAATTTCTCTTTCTATCTCTTGCTGTTGGGCTTTGTTGGTAATATGTAGAAATGCCAATGATTTATGTGGGTTTATTTTATAGCCTGCAACTTTGCTGAAGTTGTTTATTATTTCAAGTAGTTTTTTACTTGATTCTCTAGGATTCTCTAAGTATAACATCATGTCATCTGCAAAGAGTGATAGCTTTGTTTCTTCTTTGCTTATTCTAATACCTTCACTTTCTTTTTCTTATTGCTAAAGCTAACGTTTCCAGTACAATATTGAATAACAGTGGTGATAATGGACATCCTTGTTTCACCCCCGATCTTATTGGAGATGATTCTAGCTTGTGGGACAGAATTTTGCTGGCCCTTGGGGAGAAGGCCTGTTAAATAGTGAGTCGGGCAGAAGGGCTGAGTAGAGAGAGCGGCTAAATAAACAGTCCTTGGACCTTAATCTCAGAACTGGCAAGGACTTCAGAGGTTATTTAGTCCAATTTATATCTGACCAGGAATAACCTTTGCAACATTCCAGACTAGTGGTGAGCATTCAGTGTTTGCTGGAAAATATCCAGTAACGTGGTACTTACTACCTCCAGGAGCAGGCTGTTTTGCTTTGGGATGATTAGGACATTTCCTCTCATATCAGGCAGAAATTTGCCTCTCAGCAGCTTCCCGTTGTTCTGAGTTCTGCCCTCTGAGACAGACAGATTCTCTCTTTGACATGACAGTCCTCCAGATGCATCAAGACTCCTGGCATGCTCCCTGTCACTTCTGTTCTTCAGCCTCAGTAGCTGTGGGTTCCTTCAGCTGTTCTCATGTGGCGTGACTGCCAGTACCCTGAGCAACTTGGATGCACTCCTCTGTCAGTGCTTCAGACTGTGGTGTCTGTTGGTTAGAAAGGAAATAGAGTGGCCTTAATTGAGAGGAGGGTCTTAGATTTAGAGATGGAACAG